TTCAGCAGTATGACCGTTAAAACCAAAGCCCATAGGTAGGACAAAGCTTAAAACAACAACAACAAAAAAATCACAAGATCATCATCTTCCTTCAACCTGAGGTCTTGCTCCTTTCCAAGGATTATGCATTTCTAATATGTATCTAAAGGTGGCAGCAACTGTTTATTCTTATAGGGGAAGAATTAACCTCTGAAGAGCTTCAAATGCTGTATCACAGGGTTCTATTCAGAAATGAGCATCAAATTAATGCTCAGTATCAACCTAATGTTATGTCAAGAATTAAGTTGTTCTAACAAACACAACCTGTAGATGACAAAATTTCTGCACACCACTAATCTTCAACTTTGCTTTCACATTACTGATGTAAAAGCAATACAATCAGATTAACTTGGCCACCGAATAACAATTAACATAACACAAAGATACTCCAAATTAGACATATTCCTATATCAGAACCCATATGTTAGAAAGATACAAAAATGAAAAATATTTCCTACTGCAGTCAAAAAAACCTCTACCCCTGAATGCCTGCCTTGCCTTTCCTCTCCAAAGTAACATCCAGAATGCACATAAGCTATGGAAAGGGCTCTTCTAAATTCTAAACAAAAGACTAACTTGAAATATCTAGTACAAGATACTAGCGGGAGGAATCTTGTTACAGTCTTCCTAAATTTGAATTTGTTCTTTGTTCTCAGAATTAGCACCCACACCTTTAATCAGTTCTCATTATTGCTGTAATTACTAATGTCATTAATCAAGTTACAGAAAACAGTCTAGCCTATTTAACTCTACAGACTATGTCCTTACATAATACTCAAATGAAAATAAAGCAAAAAATGGTTCTGGAGCAGACTCAGGGGCAGGGCTCTGGCCTGCAGGGGGATGTGCGCGGGTGTGTGGGGAGGTAAAAGGAGGAAGGCAATGAAGAGGGTCTGCAGTTCCACAGGGACAACCATATTTACTTACGGCTGAGTTCCTAAGCACTTGCTGCAGGAACAGGAGCAGCATGAATTCACTTTCTTCACTCCTATCCTTTAGGAAGGAGTAAGGCTCAACAAGATAAGTAAGCTTGTCAACAAGCCCTTCAAGTTCTTTCATCTTCAGTTCCACTTGGGAGGAAGTGTTGTCTGGTGGAATTTTTTTTGTTTTTGAAAATATGCATTAGCTACAAGATACACATTACATATATGATGTGCCTATCTATATCATTACATTCATAAGCATGTGGGTGTATGCATATATATATATTCTAATAATTTATTTAAAAAAAATACTTGGAGAGTATTAGAAGTTAAACCAACTAACCATCCAAAAAGAATATTACTTTTCACATCCCCCAGAAAGTTCAAAAGAATATCACTTAAAACATAAATGCTCCTTGGTAGAGGGGACAAAGAAACATGCTTCATCTGAAATCTGACCGCACTAAGGTTTAAGAATGATTTGAATATACTGCTCTGGCTAATTAGCAAAATACCCCAATAAAACAGTAACAACAAAAAAAACCCAAATTGCAAATTCTGAACTGAATGTAATTAATTTCAAGCTATATCCTCAGGTATATGTTCTTTGGTTTGCTTGGCTACAGTTGGACCTTACTTTTTCCAGTCAGGATGAATTTGAGATCGACAACACATTTCACTGTATTTTTCCATAAAAAAACTCTGATATTGCAGGTTTCAGACTAAATGGGTTTTGATACACAGTTGGCCCATCCCTGGGCCTCAAATGAGGACTAGCAGAACTGCACGTATCTCCCCAGTGTCTGAGCCTGCCAAGTCACAGAACAGCTCCTAAAGTCAATGAATGGTGCTGCTTCTGGTCACTTAATTACTCCATTTGCCTCAAAGTAACAGACCAACTAATGTAACCCAATGATTGAACTAAATTCATAGTATTACATATTACCAAGGAGACCTGCCTTTAATTGGGAGATATTTCAAAGCTGCTATGACAGTTATTTATTTATTTTTAATCAGTGGAGGAAGTATGGCTCCACTAGATAAACACATTTAAATATGAAGTAATGCAAAAGCTTTTGAAGATGATGGAAAGATTAGTGAAATACATTCCTATGTATACTAGAACATTAGAAAAAATGCTAAACAACGTAGCAGAAAAAATAATTTTTCCACAATTCAAAAAATTTAGTTTGAAAAGCTAAATTTCATCTATTTTTTCATAATTCATTATCTATATTTTCAAGAAATACCAGCATAGGTGCTAGAACAATGCTTTTGGAACTGAATAAGAATTTATCTATATGCATGAACACACTAATAAAGCTTGTAATTATAGTATAGATACAGTATATCTGTAGAAAACGTAGTGTTGCATTAAGAATACCAATCTGAATATTAAAAGGAACAGCAGACGTTTAAATAGACTATTGCACCTTATGTATTACAAGACAATTTCCAGTAATATGATTGCATTGCCTTTATAATTATTAATACTGGTTAGTTGCTAATGAGCACTTTTTTTTTTTTTTCAAATTTTTGGTAGACTTCCCATTGCTCAGTGAGGCTGACACACAGAAAGTCACTGGAATTTATGTTGGTTTACAGGTATTATAGTTTCTGTCAAATTTAAACTTATCCACAGGGAGTCTGTAACCCAGTGCGAGGAAAAAGTTGGCAGCGTGAAGAATAGCAGAAACAGAAGAACTTCATGTATCCACGAAGAGATTTATTAGTCCTGTCTCCGTAACACGTCCATAGTCTGTACCATGTGTGTACACACACCAACCGCGTCTTTGCACAGTCATAACGACAGGCAAGGAATACGGAAACAGTTACCATCTTTTATCGGAGGATGGTTGAGTAAGCCCATTTTAGCTATGAAGCTGTAATAGAGAGAATGTGGGTATCCTTCATGGGACATGGTAGGGTCTAGTGTGTGTTAAAAAAGTAGAAGTCAAGCAGAAGTTTATGAACCTCAGTGGCAATTTTTTTTTTTTCCCCCCCACTGTGATGACACTTGTTTAGGATAAAGGTTAATATTTGGGTCAGCTGAATCAGGAACCCAATTTTGGACAGATCAAGCTTATGAGAATAAAATAATTTCAGAGGTTGAAATTTGTGGTTGTTTATTAATACTGACGTATTAGCAGGAAGGATGGAAGTGAGCATCATTAGCAAACAGATGACAAACAAAAGGTTGATATGAGATTTCTTCCATATGAAATGCAAAAATTGTAGAGGACACCTTTTCCCATCAGTGCAAAAACTGCTTTTCCCTCCTCCCCACCACACCAAAAAGAAAACAAAGGAAATCCTATTAATGTAATGTGGAAGGGGGAAAAAACGAGAGGAAGATTAGAAGAAGTTTTGTGTCTTTTCTTAGTTTGAGAAGACACTAAAAGAAAAGGATGATTGACAGAACAGTTCTGACTTATGACTGCCAAGTTAGTGGTAACCTCAGTATCAGTAGCTAAAATGTAAGCACCAAACTGGAGATGATTTCCCCCTTCCTCGAGTTTACCTCTGGTGTTTTAGAGGAAAGGGATGCAAGACAAAACAACAGCCAGAAAAAAGAACATATAAAGGTGGCTGCACAAAATATAGTTCTGATAATAGCGTACAGGAACGTATTCTAGATAGTCTAGATATTCTATTCTATTCTAGATATTCTAGAGGAGAATTACCAGAAAGAACTGAGTAAGCTCTCTGTATTTATAATTGATGTTTATCAAGAAGAAAAAACAACTAAAGAAGAAGAAACAACAACTAAACAAAGTCAGCTTGCACTTCTCTTCTACAGTTTGGAGACTCACTGAGAAACAAAAAACCAATTTTTTATTCCAGCTGTGCAGAACATGGGAGGTGTAAGAGTTTTTAAGAAGTGTTCTGTTTTAGAGCAAAGGAGATTATTTTCAGAAATTTCAGTCTAAAGGAACAACTAAAACAGTTTATTTTCCTAAAGAATAATTCGTGAATTATGTGAAAATCCTCCCCAGAAAACTTTTTCTTGCTCAGGAAGTGGATGGTAAATACCAATTTCACGTACTGACCAGACTTTTTTTTACCTAACCAGACGTTTTTAGCCTAATCCTGGAAATTCTCCTTAAGATATGTGACTTACGAAACATAACAAAACTCTAAACTAACTGATTTCTGTCAAGATCAAAGTAAATTCAAAAAACAACCCACGGGAAATTTAGTACTAACCACTTTTTCACAGACTTATGAGGAAGTGGCAATGCAGAACAGGCTTTTAGTAGGAAATATTTCAGGTCACCCAGAAATGTTTCTGGATGAACAAAAGTAGAGAGACAAATTGAAATCAAGGTTGCTAAAAAGAGGGAGGAGAACGACTTCTCACAAGGTGGGTAGGGGATGTTGCCTCTAGAACTGAAGACTAGGGAAGCAGAGACAGCAGGAGAGTGTGAAGTCATGTGTGATGGAGAAATACTGAAGCCTAGAAGTTTACTACTGTGAAGTTAGCATATTCAGACCCATGATTTCAATATGTAATTAGGCTGCAAGCTCATCTGAACACAGAATAACTCACATGCAAATCATTTCATGTCCAACTGCACAAAGTACTCCAGTTTTGATTGACTTACCTCCCATAATTTTAGATTGGCAGTTGATAAATTCTGGCTTCTTGTCTGTAAGGTATCGCTGACAAGTGTGATGTAGAACCTGAAAGAATGTGCATTTTTCTGAAGCTGTGCTTGCTACCCATTGGTCAAAAGCATTTTCAAATAGTAAATCAAATTCTGGGGAATCCTAGAAGAAAAAAAACACACTACTATTATACCAGTTTTATAAATGATTTGGAGAAAGATATAGAGATACTATTTTTTAAAAGGTACTATGTTAGGAAAAGCAGAAAGGTCATGCAACTCAAGACCATCCTGGGATTATTTTTCCTTTGTATATTTTTGGATTAAAAAAAAAAAACAACAGCAGGCAGGAAGTTTTTTTTCTTGCAGGTATTTTTAGTGAGGAATATTCAGCTATGACAAAAATACCTGAAAACAAAAATACTTTAGACCAAAAAATTAAAAAGTTGGAATCTCGTAAGAAAGCCTTTTTATCTACAGATATATAGTTACTTGTGTCTTCTATATTATGCAAGGATTTGTGCCTCTCAGCACAAAATCTACTTTCACACTACATTACAGAAGAAGTGCTTCTGCTCTTCATGCTCAAAGAAGGAAAACAAATAGCAAGTCCTAGTTATTGTATCCAATGTATTATCATGAAGCATAGGTCTCAGGATAACATGAACAAGAGCACTCCCCAAACAAATCAAAGCCCAAGCTCAAACCAAAGCTCTATACCATGCATCAACTGCCAAAATAAATGGATTTTATGCAAGAAGTATTGCTATATATTTAGCAATATTTGCTAAATATCGTTTTGTAATCTAATCTAGTAAATGTTTTTGAACTGATGACACTAGGAACCACAGGAAGACAAGGAACATGTCTAAGCTTAAGAACTTGATAGGACTTTCAATCTGAGAATATCCCAAGTATCTTTTAATAACGTAACTGCATAGCAGATGCTGGAAAAGGGCCTAAAACTTGTATCCCTTATCTATTTGTCATTGCTCTCGTTTTCATTGTCCCTTTACCCAGAGGAAATATAATTCTACCCCCTGCATTTCATAAGGCCGAGGCCAAAGGGCTTCTTTTTTGTACAAAAGATTGTACTGGGTAGTAACAGAATTTGATGCACCATTGTTAAGATGCTTAGGTGGCCGATGGGAGCATAGCTTTCATTAGACCAAGGGGGTTAGTCACAAACATATTTTGCATATTTGTACAATGAACACAGTAAGTGACTTCGTGATCACATAGTATGAGCCATGTTCCTAACTTCTAATTCTGCTGTTTTACTGCTGAAGAGTTGTATTCATAAGCTTATTACATATTAGTACGACTTTGTCTTGAGACAGCTGTATATTCCACATTAAAGGAATAATTCCAAAACTATTTAGTGGGGGGGTTTGTTTGTTTAATTTTTTTTTTTGTTGTTGTTTAAATCAGTATTCACATGCCATTGGCAACTAAACCACACCACGGCCCTTTGTAGAAAAAGGTAAGAAATGCAAAAGGATTTGAGGAGAGGACTGTCCTAGAAAAAACACAAGGTTTACAATATTTCACAAACTTGAACCTCAGTAACTTTTCCTGTCCTTGCTTCTACTTACTGCTCTATCTTACAACGCAGCTGCATGCCAAAATGGACCCCACGAGGCTTATAGCTGAAGACAAGGCAAACACGACTCTTATTTTTCTCTTTACAAAGAAGAGAGAGAGTAGGAAGAAAAGTAGTGAAAGACAGGAAGAAAAAAAGACTATGAGCTTTGGCCTCCTCACATCTTTCCCATTAAAATCTATTTCACATATTCCATTGAGTTCTTTCTTTTTTGAGAATTTGCACTTAAACCTGTGTCTTATCTTTCCAGATGCCTTTTGAATAGTGAAAGAATGCCTGATTCACAAATCAGCTATGAAGGAGCTCAATTTCAAACTTACCCGATTAGGGTCTATACCATTGACCTGGCGAAGCTGCTCAAGCATCCACTGCGTTCTCCTGACAAAAGATGTAGAGCCTTCAAATTGCTTCACCTTCGTAATAGACGCTTGAGCTGGTTTCTTGTTCGTCACTGAACACATAAAAGAAAAAACACGGAACTGAAATGGGCTTAATTTTTCAGTAACATGCCGTTTAGTTCACTGTATCAGTAGCTGGTTTGCTAGTGTATTTTCTACAGTGTCCCACAAAACAAATACGTCACTGATTCTGACAGTAGAACGCATTCCCTTTCCTGGATAACGTACTGAAAAGCACACTCCTTATTGTCAGAGTAATGGTACGATGCCAAACAAGCATTATACTACTCAAAATCGGATATATTTTAGCCATTATCAGCTTAAGTTGCCAACACCCTGTAAAAAACAGAACTAAACCGAAGGTCTTTTCATCTGCGTTCTTACTATCTTACTGTTCTCTTTTCCCCACACTAATTAGCAGAGGTTTCTCATACCCAGCCTCTTTCTCATTTCTTTCTCTTCTTGTCACTTTAGACAAGGGAACACAAAAAAAAAAGAAAATAAAAAAAGACATCTCCATGTAAGTATAAGTCCATTTATGTACTTTTTTAAAAAACCTGTTACTTTAGACTGACTTCCATGTTGGTGATTGATTGAAAAAAACCATAGGTTCCTCCAGGCTTTTCACAACATGTTACATGTAGGTCACGCTTGTATAACACCACCAACATCTGTGACACCCAATTCCCAATTTCCAGTCAACAGACGTAAGTATATGCACTTACTGCATCGAGAAAGTAAACCCACCCAATCAGACAACGGTCTGTGAAAAATATAGTTATAAGAATTAAAGAACTAAACATTGCTTGACCTCCCTAAAAATATTAGGTACCACAAACAAAGACCATAAATAAGAACGATGTTACTTGTTATAAAGAAAATGTATGTTAAAAACCACAAAGTCATGCAAGACAGCTCTGCTTTTGGAAAAAAAAAAAAGGCAATATAAACCACTCCAATTAGTGTATCCTTAACGCAGCATCAGCTTTTTAAAGAGTACTTAAACATTAAAGTTAACTTTTCAACAGCAGGAAAATTGGCTTCCTGTATTAGACTTTTTCTCTAAACAAACAAATTTTCTTTTCATCAGTATAACTTTAAATCTCCATGAAAGTTTTATAAGCAGTTTTAGGCATTTTCTATAGTCATACCCTGTATTTTATTTACATGTCACTTATCTGTTGCTGTGTGTTAAGTCACTTCCAAACACATTTCCACTTTCTGTTACGAATTAATTTGTAGAATCATTGTACTGCATAATCTACTAAAGCTGGTGTGTCATTTCTTTTTCTCCTTAAACTCTTTATTTCCAAAAATTCTTCTATCTATATGGTTCTCCAAAAAGAGTATTATTGGAAAAGTCACTCTTCTCTGCTTTAGGTGATGGCAGTTAAAGAAGGCTTTTAAAATAATCAAGACTTCAATAGTAAGATTGCTTATTTTTGTGCACTCTCTTTACCCAAATAATCAGGAAAACTAACAGGGGTCCCACTCTGAAGATGCATGCTGCATGCACTTCTGCACTCAGGGGCACAGTGATACAGTAAGTAAAATTGATGTAATGCCTTATCATTCTGTAAATTTAAAAAGTTAATACTGTTTCTTAGGATGAAAATTTACCAATGCACAGATCACTGTCGTGATGGTAAATGTACCTTGGAATAGATTAGCAAATTCAGATTGATATGAAAAGTTCTTTTCAATGTCTAAGATTTACACATTTTCAGTTCAGTGTATGTCTGTGCATGTGGAAGTCCAAGCACCCTTGTGAACACTTGATTTGATAAACAGAAAATTAACTTCCAAGGAAATTTTAGTAGGTAAAAATAATTAAAAAATCAGATACTAACATTCCACGTGGCAGATAACTGTTTTTAAGAAGTTACTTTGGAATAGAAAGCATAGTTGGGCTCAATATATTGACCAGACTATTGATAAGAATGTAATAAACAGATTGTCAAAAGTCTCTTAATCAGCAGTTGAAGCACTGAGAACCAAATTGGTGCAGTATGCAATTCAGAATAGCATGTCAAATGGTACAGAACAGTGAAAAATCAATGTAGTATCAGATCAATGTAGTATCAGAAAGGTAGCAGCAAAATTAGATCACAACAATTACTGAAATGCAATGACTAGATATTACTGAGAAGAGAGATTAGTATTAAAGTTTCATTGATTGCTCAATGGCCTGTGCACCCAAGCCTAACAATATCAGTAAAGTAGAGGTGACAGGCATCCTATCTATACTTATATAGTATACACAGGTTCTGTTTTTATTGCAAGATTACACACCACTGAGTGGGAAACAAATTCAAAAGTTACATGAGCAGACCACAAACTCACATCCCTACCTTCCCTGAATTCACTCTAATATTTACTCACGTCTTTTTTGCCAACCCCAGTGATCACTTTGGCAGACTCTATAGCACTCCACCAGACCGAGTTTCACATATTTTCTACAAAGCAGTACTAACAGAAGGCTATCTACAGTGGCTCAAGTTTTACTGTCTGTGGATTATTCCCTTTCCATACAAAACAGACAACAATCTACTGCTGAACGAGCCATGTGTTACAAAGAAAAAATGTGTATACTATATATCAGCCACGTATAGAATTAACACTAGTAGCATTGCAAAACAAAGCATTCAAAACCAGGAATCACTAGACAGTACAATTATGTGATCAAATGCCATTTCCCCCCACCTCAGAATCTCATGGGTAACCAATTACGAGATGTATAGCCTTAAACTTTAATACAGTAAACTTCTCACTGCTTTGAAGGTGCTTCTACATGGCACACATTCTAGTGCTCTTAAAAATAGGGGTCATTTCAAGATGAAAATATCGAATTTTACAGATACGATAGTTAAACACTAAATGTCTAATCTCAACAGCTCCATAAATTGTTTGGCTGATTTGACATATCCAAAATCTCATTCTCCAAACTTCTCTGTAAAGCACTTTTCATAAGCAATGAACAGCAGCTTTGTCTTCAGCTGGAACCATCAGTACTCTGTACTTTGGCAAAAGAAGATCACATTAAGCGCCTAAATTTCATAAACTCTTGAAAATGCCTGTTAGCGATCAACTACAAAAACATCTTGACTAGGTGACTGTTTCTGTATCATCCACCACACAGTAAGTCTGGGAGAGGCTGAGGGGGCTGCTCTTCTACAGAAGAGCTTAGAAGGGTCTTGGGTATCTCAGTCGTCTGGGGCAGAAATTCAGTCTCAAGTGAGCTGATGTGATCCTCTTGGAAAAACGGCAGTTCTCCCTTTAGGTCTCACACTGTAATTATTGCACACAGCCAAACAGATCTAGCTCAGTTTCACCTTTTGCATCTCGGTATTTTAGGAAAAAGCTAGTGTTTCTAGAACATTCAAAAAAATAGCTACCCACAAACCCATGAAACATGCTTTAAAACCTTCATTTAGTCCATGACACCTTGACAGTAGCATGGCAATCCTTACAACTCTGCGAACCCCCTTGGTAGCTGTGAAAACCATCCTCACTAGCTGCTCATTATGTTGCTTTGCAAACTAAAGTACTTCCACACAAGCCACTGAGTGGGTGTTACTTTGCAAACATGTAAAAAGTCTTTTCTTAAACCTGAAAAAAATTGGAAGCAATTACATGCTCCTAGCTACATTCCCTCTCTGACAAGTCATTCAGATGTGTTCGCTAAAATCTTCCACAATCATTATCTACCTTAATAAAATAAAAGAAATATTGTAAGTCATGCTTCAATTTTAGGTGGGGTTTTTTGTTTGCTTTGCCTTTTTTTTTTTTTTTTTTTAAACAGAACTTAACGTTATGCCTTCAAAATATGAAGCTGTAGTAGTGTGGACAAAGCACATTTATTTGGAACCCATCAATAGATGGTAGATCCATATCGTATTTCTGTGTGTAATCAGATGCAAATAAGCTTTTTTAATTTTTAATTTTTTTTTTTTTAAAGGAACATGCAGTTATTGGTAAAGTAAGAAAGAATGTGTGAGAAGTCAGCTGCAACAATTTATGATGGAAGACATTGTGAGGTTGGTTTTTTTTTTTTTTTTAAAAACACTGGATTAATATACAACCAAAAGTTGCCAAGACAGAAACAGCACTATTTTGTCTGGGATTGAAGACATTATTAACCATTTTGCATTGTAAATACAAATAAGTTACAGTATTAAGTTTCAAAGAGATTGTTAAAGTTTGAGAGGCATGCATTTAAGTGAAATACTCTGTTTCAAAAGCAGATCAGAGAATATGAGGCAGAAATAGTCAGATCAGAATTAGCTTTAGAGAATGCTGTGACAGAGTCAGGAAGGTCACTGTTCTCATCATTTGGAACACATGGAAACAAACATATTTGAATTCCAGACCTCAGCTACAATCCAGTACTATGTGCATGTCATCTTAAGCAGCAAATCAATACAGCTCTTCACACAGAAAGCTAAGGGAGACTAAAGTCACAGTCCAACTTCATCTCATCTGCAGTCCAGAATACATTTTCTTTATTTTTTCAGTCTTCTAAAATATCCTTACTTGAATGGAAAAAATAAAATAATGACAAATGGTTAATTCCTTAAATACCTACCCCAAAATACCTGGCCTTGAGAAACAGTCTGAAAGCTCTAAACCACCGCACTATGTTCTTTTATTTATTTTATCAGATTTGAAATGCATATTTAAAAAGCAATGTCTGTCCTTGAAGTCTTGACTCTGAATATCGGTGTTTGTTTTGGATGTTCTTTAAATTTGGATCTGTGTATTTAATAATTCAAACTCTAGGTAGTTAGGAATCTTATGACAAATGGCTTGTTTGCCTCACAAAATTTCTAGTCATATTGCAGAGTATTTCTAAAGTGTCAAATGACTGAAATAACTACTGAAGGGAGAAATTAAAAACTACAAAGTCTTGAAGCAGGCAGTGACTGCTGCAACTGTTCACATTATAACAAGATTTTTTTTTTTAATCTGGGCACGACACAGATTAATAAATTAACCAGCCTTAACTTTTATTGCTGTTTTGTCACTAGCTCTTGAGGAGAGAAAAAAAAACCCACACAAAGAAAACAGTGCAAATGAAGTAA